GCTGATGCAGTCAAGGGATGTGAGTCTTACATGTCGATATTTGCAAAGACATCAGATGAAGTGCAAGCTCTTTTTCACAAAATCAACAACTGATCAATTATCATTCATAGGTAATAATAATATAATTGATATTTAATCATCAATTTATAGATTACAATGTGTTCAACTCACACTTACCGCACATTCATGCATTAACCAGGGTATTTAATGTTGAATCCCAAATAGGATTTGAGTCTTAATCATCTCTATTTGCAAAGACATCAGATGAAGTGCAAGCTCTTTTTCACAAAAATATCAACAACTGATCAATAAATTATTGTTATTCATTAATAATAATATTGATATTTAATCAATTTATAGTTTACAAGTTCATGCACCAACATGGGCATTTGATATCAAATCCAAATGAGGATTTCTAAGAATACATCATATTTTACTGGCAAAGTTTGTGTACTCTAGAATTAAATTTAATGGTAGCCATAGATTTTCCCTGGGGGAGGTGGCTTTTACATGTTCGATCTATCTTACCACAGGGGCACCCGATGATGATTTTTCACAAATATTTTAAAATACTGTTTTAGGCCATCTTGAGTGCTTTTAAAGCTCTGTAGGTTAATTTTAGGCTGCACTAAAAAATTATTGTTCATTCTAGGAAAACTTGAATCTTCTTGAATTTATCATTTTTGCCTATTTCCCAAAAACCTTAGGTCTCATTGTCTTTCAAAAATTATGGCTTTCTTTTTTTTTTTTGGCACCCAAAACCCCAGTGGGGGTGAACGCAGTATACATGAAGCAGGGTCCAGCATATTTTTTTGGGTTGAAAATTTTCACCCTTGGTATGTTTTTGGGTCAAGAGATGTGTCATGTATTTTTTTTTGGTCTTAAAAAATACTTGTAATTTTTGGGTTTACACATCTCCGAGTGAAATTTTTGTTGCAAGCAGTGGGTGGATGAAGAGATGTTAACGGACATACCAATTTCATTAGCTTATTGATGCAAAATCATGCATTAGAAGAGTCTGTTTGATTGAATAAATCAGTATTGAGGTATTTAAGTCTTGTATTTTTTTTGGATAGGAAATTTTGATGCCAGGTTTTTTTTTGGGTATAAGATTTTAGGCTCACGTATTTTTGGGGTTCGCAATATGAAGCTCCATCCCCCCCTGTCTGCGAGTAACCCCCCTGGGCCCAAAACAACATTTTTATCAATCCGAAAACAACAGCCATTAAATTTTTCATATCAGGAAAGTTCGAAGTGACAACAGACCAATTTCGATATATTAAAATTCAGCCTAAAACAATAAACCTCAGTGCGAGGCTCTTGGGAATAATTACAGAGTTTGTGGGGTTTATTCCCCAAAGCCTTGTGCTGAGGTCTATTGTATTAGGCTGAATTTTAATATATTGAAATTGGTCTATTCACTTATTGAGAGAATCAGAGGGGATCAAAGGCTTTTCAAACAGATGATTGACCAGTTAATGATCTATTGGGTTCCCCTGTTACCTGAAGAGCTGACACTGGACT